ATGAGAACTTTAACCGATTTTTTTTTGTTGAAATATAACGGACAGACTTAAGAAAAGTTCTTTATAAAAACCAAAAAGGCTAGCCCATCGAGATCGCCGGGGCTTAAATCCGTTAAAATTCTCCCTTTGTGGGACTTGATTGTTATTGGTATTTTATTCGATCTTCTAGATTTCTAGATTTCAGGCTGTATGTGACAGTACCTACTGAATTTCAACAAGTTTAAACAAAAGCGGCAAAAGGGTTAGCACAATGTTTACGGAATAGGGGATTCTCAAAAAAGTTTAATATGATGTATCTTGCAAGCGAAGCTTTATCCGGCCTATGTTTAACTTTATTCTTAAAATCGCTTCTGGAATTACCTTCTGGAGTTTATCCTGGAACTTCATACTTGTATACTACAGTGGGCGTTAAAAACGAAAGAAGGAATGGTAAAATATTTATGTTGTTGGTTAAATAAGTTGTGTATTTAGGAAACCAAGAAGATGGCACATTTAAAGTTTCGCAGTCCAGTTTGTTTCCGGATATACATAAAATTCACTGCATGATGGCTTAACTAGAACTAAAATATGACGTTTTGTCTCTTGTGCTCAATCACGAACTTTATTTTTTATTACGGACACAAATTCGGAGTTTTGCACAGGCTAATAGAGTTTTTAATTCGGTTTTTAAAAAATAATATATCATACCTCAATGTAAAATCACAGCTTAGATAGCAGTCAGCTATGTCAGTGTCAAAAACGGCCGTCATTTCGCTGGGGAAAATCGCATGTAAATTCCACTAGTAAAACGGTGGAGGAGGTTTAGTATTCAGCAGCAGCCGGTGTTGAAACGTATCCTGCAAGCGGCTGCAGATATTCTTTGCGGTCAGAAAAACTATAATATTCCTATATTATCTGTTGTAGTTTGTGTGAACTAATAATAAAAAGGAGTATGTTTGTCCAACTGGCCACTTACACATCAAAATTTCGCCCTGTACTCGCATGTAGAAGCATTCTAGCTGAGGAGTCGTCAGAAGTGTCAGGTTTAACTGGTGGTTTGCTCTCGTTTTTTTTTCGCAATGAAGACAATGAAATTTTTGATTGTGTTTTCCTGGTCGTGTTTTTAACAGTGCTTTTAACATTGAAAATGTAATGGATTGAGAATGCATTACAAAAGTGTAAGCATTCCTAGGTTTTTTGTGAGTACTTCCATCAATGCAAATTTATTTTAAAGCTTTTCCATAAATAAATAGTCATCAATACCTCGTTGGTTTTTTTTGGACAAACTTTTTATTATTGGTTCACAGAAACTACACTAGATAACATCGGAACATTACAAGTTTTAGGATTGCAAATAACACTATGCAACCTCTGACAGTGTACGAGGCAACACCGGCTGCTGCTGTGTACTAAAACCTCCTTCATCGTTGTACTAGGGGAATTTAGATGTTATTTTCTCCGCCGAAATCGCGGCTGCTTTTGATACTGACAGGATAGTTTCAAGCTGTGGTAAAACTATCATAACTGAAAAAAAAACAGATGTTTCAAATAAGGCCTCAAAGTCATCAGATAGTCATTTATTTCGTGATATCATCAGTCAAGCATCCCTTGAGTTTGCATGAAGTGGACATAGGTAAACAACGTGGAGTGATATTGGGCTTTTGAATATCTAGAAAAGTAATCTTCTCGTAGGTAGTCTTACCTCATCGAATATAGAAGAAGATAATACTAACTTTTTCAAATTAATTAAGGGTAGTAGTGAAAACAAATATAGAAACATTTTAGAACAAGTTAATTGTTGGATGATGTTACAACTTGCTAAATACATTTCACATCTATCATATCTAAGCTGATGCATACTTCTTACATTTACACAATAGACCTTACTCTACGGCTGATGTGTCATGTAACGATGCTCCGTCAAGCTAAAATAACGCTTGTTATTTTCGATAAATGGGCAAATTATTTATCTAAATGTCTTTTAGCATACTTCCCAAGAATTGAAACATTCTTTACTCGCTAAAGTTGTCATTTTCAAGGCCAACTATGAGAATAATAGTTTTCTTGAAGTAATTAGGGTTTGGCAATGACAATATATGACGTACTACCCATTTTTAGAGTTAAAATTAGAAACTATTCATCTATTTGAAAAGGATATATAGCGTCCTTAAAATAATAAAGTAGATGATCGAGGTCATATTGAAATTCTAATTATGTTTTTGGTAGAGTAAAAATTGACAACGTTTCTATGTAATTTATTTTGAAATCCCACCTCAAATAAGACAGAAAAATTCTAGTATTAATTCCCCATGTGCCATCTTTTTGGTTTATTCTATTCGTAACGTTGCCCTCATTTAACCGACTTCGTAACTATTTGTGATTCCGAGATCCCGATATATTACATGAAGTGACAGTAGCAGTAATAGTAAAAAGCTTAATTCAGCACGTTTGGCTACATAAGCAGAATAATTAAACTCAAAAGTAGTAAATACAAGCCATATGATGCACATGCTGGCCAGTATAATTGTAGATTTAACGAGTGACTCCTCACTTTTACTTTGAATTTCGTTAAAGTAGTATGTAGTCTTATGTCTGTGGTTGATTTATTATATTCGATTAACTCTTGATGGAATACAGATTTGCAACATATATTATACTTTTGGGGCATTAAATGGAAGTCGTCTTTATTTCTAATCATGTACATTTCAAATCATGTACATGATAGTCGGCATTTGATGATGTTAATTTGGTTAGACATGATGGAAACATATCATTTTTTACTTTATAAATGAATATCATTAGTAGATATTTGATAAAACTATTCATATTAAGCCATTTTAATTTGCTGAGCATTTGTCTAATTGGAGTATACATGTATATCTTTATTCAGTATTATTCTCATACCATTCTTTCGTGAAATTTTCCAATCTTTCAAAAATGGAACTATTAGCTAAATATAGAATACTCGAACAGCACTAGAAATTTGGAAGATAGATAGTATTATAGATAATTTTTTTTACTATATGAACTCATACTACTCTTGATAAGTATCTCACTTTACTACTAATCTGGTTTATATTTTTTTTATGATGAATATCAAAATTTAATTAAGAGTCACGGAAAATTCCAAGATATTTAAAATTTTCAATATCTTCCCCATGAATTTTCAGTTGAACATTTGTATATTTGATTTACCAATTAACATAGCTTTCGTTTTATTTGTATTATTGAGTTTGTTAGAGGCTCACTATTTTGAAAGAAGATTCAAGTTTTCATTTACATATATACGAGATTCCAGACTGGATATCTTGAGTACTTATATAAATCAAAGTGTCATCAGCGAAAATTTGGAATTTACATATTTAACTACGGCAGGTAAATCGTTGATGTATAAAATAAAAAGAAGTGGTCCCAGGATACAGCCCAGTGGAACATCTAACGTATTTTGAATTTTTGATGAAATCATGTTATTAACTTTTGTAACTTGCATCCTCTTAGATAAATAATTTTTAAGGCAGTCTTCAATTTAACTAACAAAATATACTTATTGATTCACAACTTTATATTAGTAGCTACACATTCACTCATCCCTTATCAATGAACAATAACAGCTATTGAAAAATTTGCCTCGAAAAGACACCAATACTGGACATGTTCCATACCCGGCGTCTTCAGCTAACCTACGTTATCGGTATTAGTCGTTTGAGTATACACTTCTCAACATGCAAAAAACGTTGAAGGTTGAAAGGAACAGCAGATTCAACTTGAGATTCGAGGTGAAGAGGCGACCCTTTGAGCGGCGGCTTTCCACTCCTTCTAAGCGGATTTTTGCGTAATTAACAAAACTTCTTTTATCTTTTTTGCTAATCTTGGAAGTCTTCGATATGGCCAGTCAGCAAAGATTTTATCTTTGTGCACGATTTTATTGAGGGCAGACAAGATTAAGGAAATTACGTGTTTTCATTATCTGTTCGGGTAACTCTCAGAGAAAAGAAAGCTTTCAGAAATTTGTAATCGAGTTTCACCAACGAATTCGAATAGGTTTTAAATCTGCTCGCTGGTTGCTCCATGACATTGCCACCTAGCGGGTGCCGGACATAAACACTTGTGCTTGAGAGGTACAATATAAAAATAGAAAAATCTGAATTAAAACACCAGATCATTGATTCCCAAAGTGGTCTATATCGACCCCTAGGGGTCTATGACAACCTGCAAGGGGCCTACGTCAGCGAAAAAAAATTTGGGGGTCCATGAAATGAATATGGGGGTCCAAGATAGTGGATCTCAACACATACACTGATAGTACCTATTCACTTACATCATACTATCTTATAATATCAAAACATATACATTATTTATAAAAGTACCTATGAAGTAAAACATTTATTATATATGTTTATAAAATTGTGTAAGTTGTCGGATGTTGGTATTCGCTTTGTGGTCGCAATACATTTTGAACTTGTAAAAACCTGAGAGTCGCAGTCTCAGAGCTTCGCTACCTTGCACTGACTTGTTCAATTCGTCACTCTATAAATACGAATGTGGGACAAATACGTTTATTCGTTTCCTGAATCTTGAAAAGGAAAGTGCTAAGAAAATATTTTAAAAAATATAAACAGATAGTATATTATCACACAAATTATACTGAGTCAGTGTTATTTTGTTTGAGAGTGCTGGATAAAAGTAAGTACATTATTTTTTATTGAATTTTAGTTTTGTACTAGTAGTTAGCAAAGATAGATAAATTACGCCAATCATGACTTTAGTTATTAGTAGTTAAATATTCAATCATGCAAAATTACACGAGTACTCCTCAATAGTTTCTTTTTTAAAATTTTAGCAATCGGTAATAAATCAAAAAATATTTTTAATATACAGCTGCTGGATTTTCTGTCTTATTTAAATAATTCAATTTTGCCCATAGATGACTGATGCCATGTCCGAATCTAAAAAGAAAATGTAGACAGTACAGTGTTGATTATTTGAAATTTGGCTTCATTCCATCATTGCCGGACAAACAATCGCCTATGTGCCTTTTATGCAACAAAGTTTTGGGCAATGACGCTATGAATCCATCTAAACTGCAAGATCATCTGAGAAGATGTCACCCTGATAAAACTGAGAAAGATTTGAAATACTTTCAAACACTCAAAGATAAATTTCAGAAGAGACCTACACTGGGCAGAATGTTCGCTTCGACGTCACAAAGAAATGATGATGATTTGCGGGCGTCTTACAATATCTCGTTACTTATAGCAAAATCCGGAAAACCGCATACTATCGGAGAGAAGTTAATTTTGCCAGCCGTTGAAGAGGTTTTAAAAACTGTTTTACACAAACCTCTGATATCATTAGAAGAATTCCCTTAAGCAACAATACTGTTGAAAGACGTATTGATGAAATGAGTTCTGATATTGAAAGCTTCTTATTTAATTATTTGCGAGCGACCCATTTCTCTATAGAACTGGACGAGTCAACTTTACCTGATAATGCAGCATTATTATTGGCATATGTTCGTTTTATTATGAATCAAGAAATCTACGAAGAACTGCTCTTCGCAAGAACTTTGACGTGGCGAATTTTCTCAGTTCCCCAATTTGTCACAGACAAGCTGCCAGGAAGACGACGTTTCAACTTACGTTCAACATTTAAATGCCCCCTATTCAGATTTTGAATCTAGGTTTGAGGATATTTTGACTATGGTAATACCACCGTGGATAATTAATCCATGTGGTGACATAGGAGAAACGAATGTCATAATACAAGAGGAACTGACTGAACTAAGTACAAACGAAGAACTTAAGGTTCAGTTTAAAAACGGATATCAGCAATTCTGGCTGCAAAACAACATACCCGTTACTTATCCCGTATTATGGAATGTAGCGAGGAAATTTTTAATTTCCTTTCCATCGTCATACCTAGTGGAAAGGGGGTTCAGCGCTGTTACCAATCTCCTAACGAAAAAAAGAAACGGACATCATTAGCCGAGGAGATTCAAGATTAACCCTTTTAAAATAGACGAAAAATGTTGATAATTTATTATTAAAGCATCAAGTTCATCCTTCTTACTAAAAATATTGGCTTATTGCTTATGTTATTTTATTTATAGTTTATTTTATGTTTATTGGTGTCTGACCAATAAATGCCCGCATTGGGAATAAGTGACCGCATTGATTTTTTTAAAGAATTCCCCTTTATAGAAAATATTTTTTTTAAATTATTCTGAAAATTCAAGGATAGGCACACACTAAAATTTGTTAATTTTTTGCCTATTTTTAGATAACTTAAACGTATAAGAAGCGGAATTTAATCAAACTAGCAGTGAAATTATTGTAGAGCATACGTTTATGTCATAATTAATAAACGAACTCGCTTATTGTACTATTTTAAGTAAAACACTTTTTTTTATTATTTTTCACTTTTTGTTTATTTTATCCCTCTCATTTTTTTTTTCAACGCGGGCACTTATTCCCAATGCGGGCACTTATTGGTCAGACACCTGTTTATTTAATGTTACGTATATTTTACATAACAGATACAAAATTTTATTTTGAGTAGTTTTAATTTAAATTCAATTAATAAATGTATAAATTAACATGTGTTTTTACTTTAAGTTTTTAACACTAAACTTCACTACAGTTAGAAATTTACAGGAAATCAATATTAGGTAAGTAGGAGGTCTACCCAACACGGAAAAACATGGCAAGGGGTCTACGACACAAAAAAGTTTGGGGAACTCTGCACCAGATGATACTTAGCCGGTTTGAGGTTAGTAACCATTTGAATTTCAAACTGACAGTTCGATTTTGCAAATGATGATAGTCAAATATTTGCACCTGCCAGGCCTCAGTTGACCCAGATTCCAATCGTGGACGACGATATTTTCCTTTTACTTTAGACGCCTACTGACGGGGAAGTATTGTAATGTATTTATAAAATGAGATATTGTGTTTTGGATGTTACATGACATCACGAAAAACCATGCCACTCATGTCCGTCGGTCTGTCTATCAATCTGTCGGTCTGTCCGCAAATCTCGAATAATTTGAAAAGTTATTTTTTTCACAATATTACTACTATTCCAAGGTGCCACTTTAGGTCTATTTCAAATCACTAACACGTAAAAAGAAGGTGGTAGACAAGGACCAGTCGACCGCGGCAGTACCACCCACTAGCTTTTCCCAGGGTGCCTTATAAATGTCCGCATGTTTCCACACCTAAGCTATGCAGTCGGTTATCCTCCAAAACAAAGAAATTAATGATGATGGATCCTCGAGCACTAAGAACTCCGGACGTAAACTCACTCCACTCTCGGAATGTCCGGGTGGAGGGTGGGCTCGAGGGAACAACATCGAAGATAAAATTCTTTTTTCGAACATCTGCGAGATTAACAGCAACATTGATGCTGTTCATCACTACCTGCAATCCAATCGTCCCGCCGTGATTTTCTTGGCGGAGACAAAAATCTCAGAGTCTGCACCGATTAACCATCTTAACTTCCCAAACTAAGAGGTGCACTCCAATCTCAGAAAGAACGGGGGAGTTGTAGCTTTTGTCCGCAGCAGTCCTTCCTACTCCAGAGATGTTTCTTTGGAATCAGACCGGAAGGACATTATGTGGCTTCGCCTCAACTCCAAAACTTCACCCAAGTTTATTTGCTGACTTTATCGCTCTCCCTCGGACCATAACTGGGATGACCTACTCGAATACCTCGCTGTCCAGATCGACTTCCTGAACATTAATCATCCCGCTTCAGAGATAGTTCTTCTCGGTGATTTAAATGCCCATAATGAGCTTTGGTTGGGCTCAAACAAGACCGATGCAGCAGGTCGTGCAGTCGGAGCGTTCGCTCCTACTCAAGGACTGACCCAGCTGGTGACGAGCCCTACTTCTTTCCCCCGCATTTCGTCACACGCCAGTAGCCTGCTGGATCTCTTTCTCACCACGCATCCAGTCCCTTACAGCACTGCTGTCCTGTCCCCCCTGGGTAACTCAGACCACGGTGTTGTGGATGTTAGGTTTCGGTCAGAACCCGCTGTGGCAGCAGAAACTCGTACAGGCCGCAAAACTTGGCATTACGGACATGCCGACTGGGAGGGGCTCAGACACTTCTTCTCTAGCTTTCCTTGGAAAGATGTCTGTTTCACTGACGTGGATGAGTCGGCTGTCTGTTCTTCGATAACTGAAATTATCCACGTCGGAATGGAGGAATACAACCCTCACACAGTGAAAGTGCCTAGACCAGGGTCCAACGGCTGGTTTAACAAATCGTGTGGCGCTACTCGCCAGCAGAAGATCAAGACCTACAGAACCTTCTTACAAAACCCCACTGTAGAGAACAGACATGCCGACGTTGAGTCCAGAAACAAATATAAAGCAGCGGTTTGCAGTGCCAGTCACCAGCACGATATAAAAGTTAGACACATGGTAATGTCGCAGCGCAATGGAAGTCGGTCTTTCTGGACGCTGGCCAAGCAGATTGAAAAGAACTTACGTGTTAGGATGGAACTATTGTATTCAACTCAAAGGCCAAGGCGGAAGTGCTAGCCAAGATCTTTGCTGCCAACTCCACCATGGACGTCCCCCCCAACGCCCAAGTGCCGTCAATTCAAAGGATTCCCTACACTATGCGGGAGGTAACATTCAGGCATAAGACCGTAAGACTCTTGTCGCTCGACATCAACAAAGCTTCTGGTCCGGACCTGATTCCTGCCATTGTACTGAAGAGGTGTGCACCGGAGCTTGCTCCAGTTCTTTCGCGTCTCTTCCAGATATCTTATGAATCCGGCACCTTCCCAGAAAACTGGAAATTTGCTCATGTCCAACCCATCCCAAAAAAGGGATCTAAGACCGACCCTTACAACTACAGGCCTATAGCTCTGCTTTCTGTTTTAAGTAAGGTGATGGAGAGGTGCATAAATCGCGAGCTTCTGGACTACCTCGAACGTCACGGCTTGATTAGCGACAGGCAGTATGGTTTCCGGCACCAACGATCCACAGGGGACCTTCTAGCTTACGTCACTCAATTGTGGAGTAAACTCATCCAGTCTTATGGTGAGGCTCATGTCGTTGCTCTTGACATCACGAAAGCGTTCGGTCAGCTGTGGCATGCTGGCCTCTTAAGCAAACTTCCATCCTATGGCCCCCAGAAAAGCTTTGCAGATGGGTGGCTGACTTTATTTCTGGCTGCAAGATATCCGTCGTAATTGACGGGTTCTCCTCTTCATCCCACAACGTCAACGAGGGTGTTCCCCAGGGATCGGTCTTGGCTCCGACACTGTTTCTCTTACATATCAACGACCTCCTTTCCTGCACGATCAACCCAATCCACAGCTTCGCTGATGACAGCACTCTACATGCAGGAATTCAGAGTGACAAGCCGAGCTCTGCCGTTGAGTTGGAAAAAAGAAGACTAGCGTTGACTTCCTCTCTGACAAGAGACCTGGAGGCTATCACTGCTTGGGGACACAACAATGCTTCCAAAACGCAGTACTGTACTTTGACGAACAAAAAGCGTCCCTGCGCTCACCCGGTTTTGATGGATGGTCGAGTTCTGCCAAAGAGCCATTCATTTCGGCTGGTCGGGGTCCAGATCACCGAGGACCTGATCTGGTTCGAATATATATGCGTCAACTGCTTCTTCTGGTGACTGGAACATTTGACCACGCAGTCTGTTTTTAATTTTCGGGAAAGTAAAGAAATCGTTAGGACGTAGATGGGGACTATATGGAGGATGGTGCAATAATTCCACGTTTTCTTCCGTTAAATACTGCCTTGTCTTTTGGGCTGTGTGCAAGCTTGCATTGTCTTGGTGGAGGATGATTCTTCTTTCGGGGTTGATTTTTCGAAGCTCGGTGATAACTTTGGCAAACAAATGGTGGTATACCAATCCGCAGTAACAGTTCTTTGCTCATTAAGAGGAATTGTTGCAATATGACCCGCTTTTGACACAAATGTCGCGACCATCTTTTTCAAAACACTTCGAGAATGGATGACTTTTGTTGGCTTTTCTTCACCTTCGAACACCCAAACAGCCGACTGTCGTTTATTTTTTGGTTCATAATAGTAAATCCACGATTCATTGCCACTAACAATGCTGTACACATTTTTTGAGTTTCCGGAATTGAAACGGTCAATGCGTTTTTTGACACCAATTAACCCTGGCTGCTTTCTGCTCTTCAGCCAACAGGTGGGGTATCCAACGAGAAACTAATTTTCTTACTCCTAATTCTTCATGTAAAATTTTTTGAATTGATGTCTTTGAGATCTTCAAGGACGCCTCAATCTCGCGATATGTCACATGTCTATCTTCAATGATGAGTTTGCGCACAGCATCGACGTTTTCCTGGGTGACTGCCGTTTTTGATGCA